AATGAATATCATGAAGTCCTAACTTGTTACGCAATGTTACAAATTAGTCCTTCCGCATAGCCTTTATGAATACATGTGCCAACTGGAAGCGTATAGGTTCATATGAAGGACTAATCATTCCAACTGGCAATTTTTCTCGAACTATGTAACAATCTATCTCAATCTATTTTGTATGCTCATAAAAAAAGGGGATTTACTATAATGTACAAATATGCTTTATTGTCGCAAAACAATGATGTAGGAGCTATCTGTGAGACTTTCAAGTCTTGTAATATATATTACAACCAAGTCAGCTCCAAACACATGTTGGTCATAGCTCGATATTCAACCTTTGCAGATGATCAAGAAACATTAGTTTGTTACTCAGATTTCCATGAGATGAGAGAATTCCAAAGGAAAATGCAATATCATGTAATCGATCTTCTTGAGGCAAGACAACCTCCCCAGTCTGAATAGTAAAAAGCCTTTAGAGCAAGGGTGTTGGTGGAAGGTAACAATAAACCTTGACCAGGAGTACCTTTTACGTACTTGACAATTCGTGTGGCAACACCCCAATGAGAGTATGAAGAATCCATTGTGTGCGGAAGACTGTGTGAAGAATCCAGTGCAGGCTGAGAAGAATTTGTAGCATTAGCAGCAGGAAATACATTGCCAACATTACCTCAAGATTTGCAATGTTGTCTTTGCTGTTGATTTTGTCGATTGCCTTGAGTTCCTATGTTGAGAACCCATGTTCCATTTTTATAATTGCGCATTTCCTCAGTGTGACCTTTTTGTCACAATACTTGAAATGGAATTTGAAAGTTTGACAATTTTCAATTGTATGACTCCTCTATTTGAGGAGTTGTTGGTTCGATTCTGAATTGCAATAGCGATGGAAAAGTTTTTAGTTGATTCTAATGTCATTTTATGCTATATTTCGTCTTAAATGTCGAGAGATTGTGCTTGACGTACGTTAGGCAATGACCAGAAGCGGACGCAAAAGTTTAAAGTTAGGGAGGGCACAATCGAACTTGTAAAAAAGTTGGGAGAAATTTTACAATCGAAAATTTACGTCCAAAAAAGTCATACCCCATGTAATTTTGCATCCGAAAATTTACATGAGATATGACTTTTTCGGATGTAAAATTTCGAAATTTTTTGATGTCATATTCCATATAAAATTTCCTAATAAAATGATGAAAATTACATTGAAAAATTTGTAAATAATTAATGTTAATGAAATAATTGAATTTTTTATTTTTTAAATGCTAGTTAGATATCTTTCTTTAAAACTCACGTTTAACTATTTTCGATATCTGTTTGGACTATTTGATATACTCATAATGTAATTCTCGAAATAAGATTTGAGATAATATAAATCAATTTTTTAGTAAATTTTGATAAAAGTTAAACAGTTATGGATTCCATGAAATATGTTATTAAAATTAATTGTTAACTTTGATTTAGATTAAAGTTTAGATTTCAATAGATACCAAACATAACTTTACAAAAAAAAAAATCAAAAGTTGGGGGGGGACCCCCCTTGGGTCCGCCCCTGGCAATGACGGCATCATGAGGATATTGGTATGAACAGCATTGTAGGCGTCGTTGAAGCCCATGAGAAATTGCATCAGCCGAACTTCTTGTCTCTGAACATTATGTTCTTTCATTTGGTTGCAGGTGGGAAGAGATCGATATGTTTCTAATTCATCCCAAAGGCTTTGGATTTTTGTAAAATATGTTGAGATTGTCATAGTACCTTGTGAGAGACAGGCTAAGGATAATTGGATTTGATAGATTGGTGGTGCATTTTTTTGTGTGAATTGATCTTTGAATTTTTTCCGCACTTGTTGAGCGATATTTTTGCATGAACTACCCCTCTTGTCAGATCATGTTCTACGCAGTGACTCAGCCATGATAAAATCATAAAGTTGCATTGATTCCAGAGAGTATATTTTGGTGTTTCATGGTTGTCTGATTTCCTTTCCACCGACTTAACTAGTTAACTTGAAGCCAGTTTTATTTTTGGCTATGAGAGCATGAATCATAGATTTACTCCATGACGGATAATTGGCGCTGTTCAATATTGTTGGGACGAGCATATGTCCAGGCTGATTTGAATGATGACTCTAAGTATGGATTTATACGAGGACTGACATTACTGGTGTTTGAATAATTGGAATGGGACCTTTGTCATTGTGTTTGATCTTCTCTTGCAAAGGTGTTTACATGTGTCAAAAATAATCAGCACAAGAAAGAGCAGAAAGTTGCTATACCATGAGAAAAATTGAGTGTTGGTTTTGTTGCTCTATTCATCTATTACAAATACCACATAAATAAATATGTACAAGAGATCAATCAATGCTATTTCTATGGCTAAGAAACCGTGATCCAACGATTGCATGAATGATTTTTTTAACCGATACCTAATTTTTACTTTTTAGTGCGTTTATATATATATTGAATAATTTTTAATATTATTAAACAACACTGCTGCTCTTACGATCGTTGATTGTCGACGGTCAATTGTCAACGTTCGTCCATACTGAACTTTTTGTGCTGGGTCCGCCACTGAAAATGATATAAGAATCATTTGTTGAAGATTTTCCTATATTTATTGTCTCATTTTCTATTTGATATTAGAAGTGGACATCACGAAAATGAAATGTGGTCACTTTATAAATATTTTTATCTCTATATATTAATTAATTTGAGAATTAACTTTTTTTTTTCTAGTGTGTGTATTTTTACCACGGTTCAACTGCAGTTCAACTCAATTCGATCTATTGATCATTAATCATTTTACATTTTCGGGTTAATGATTGGATCGATTTTGAAAACATTGATATACAACAAAAATTGCACTAGGGACATACGTGTCAGCTTGTACGAGAAGCGGAGAGATTCGATTATATATATTCCTAGGGAACATAAAAAGTCTTGAGATTCAACAACTGCATTTTAAATAGGTGATTCTCCAACATGACTTTGTCATAAGCATAGTTTTAATACACAATTTGCCCTTAATCTTGTTTTTCTTAGTCCAGCCTAAAAAATAAAATCAAAGCACGTTGAAGATGCCTCTCGAAGAGATGAGGAGATTTCTATTTTAGAGTAATAAGGAAGCATATCCTTCAAGTCGCAGTATTTTTTATTTGAATGGATTGTACTCGAGATCCTAAAATATATTCACAATTTGATGCTGATTGTGAGGATGTTGACTGCGAGGATATGCTTCCTTAGTTTTCTCACTACTTTTTCGACGTTCGACCAATTTGTCATCCATTTGCACTGTTGGTGGCTGCAATTGTTGAGTAATGACAATACTATCCATTTCAACCTTTCTCCTAGTTTTAGGTATGTTTTTTTGTAAAACACGAGTTAACGTGCTTCTTTACTGCTCACAGCAACACACAACACGGTGCCATGGACCCAGGGGAGGACGCAGACTTTTTATGCTGGGGGCACAATCAAACTTTCAAAAAGTGTCGAAAAAATTAAAGTAAGAGATATTTTATTACAATTGTTCTCTACGTGTTCTCATATTTTGATAACGTTCTATAATTAAAGTGAGAAATAGAGAAAAATTTAATGTAGTTTCATAATTCAAATCAACAAAGAAATTGAGTATACAATCTTGGTCATCAAGAGCTACACAAACTTTGATAGAATCAAAGCCACATATTTATATGTACATTTCTTAAATGTAAACTAGAGTGGAATTAGAGGAAACTTAAAAGGAAATTACAAAGTTTGGTTGAGCATTTGAGAGGCTCGACTCGCTCCCCAACCCAAATCCTATTATCAAATGTCAGCCGCAGTATTATACGTATATTAATTGAATTCAACTGGAATGAAATTGCAAAGGAAACTTAAAGGAAATTACAAACTTCTGTCAAGCATTAAAGAGGCCCGACTCGATTTGAAATGGAGAGAACATTTGTTTGAAATGAATGTAAATTTCTTTTCCTTTCAAAAAAAAAAAAATGAAATTCAAAATTTACGTGGGGCAGGTCACCCCCCAAGTCCGCCCATGCATGGACCAAGCTACCTTGAGAGGGCCCATGGTAGAATGGATTAACCCCGGTGCCATAGTGCACAACAGTTAGTGATGTTGAAGTGGATAGTTCACAGCAGTTAGAGTATCTTCAAAAGATTCTCTATTTTTAAAGAGCATATTCTATCATTTGGAGAGTATCTATAAATTTAGAGAATTAAAAATTTGAAGTACTCAAACAAACTCTTTATATTTAACACTTAATTTTACTACTCGCAAAAAATATTTATTATTTTTTCTTTATCTTTTATTTTAACTAGTTTTTCTTTAGATTATTTTATTATTTTCCTACATTGAAAATTGAAACATTTTGAATCTATTTAATTATAGAGAGTGAGTCTCTAAATTAAAATGTTAATTTAAAGAGTCTCTTGCAGTATGATTTTAAATGTTGACTCTTTAAAATAGAGAGTAACTTATGTTTAAAAAATCTCTTGGAGATGCTCACACTGATGTTGAAGTGGATGGACTATGACTTATTAAGTGAATTTGAATAAATTTCCTCATAATCCTCAAAATATTTAGAGCCTGCTTGTTTCCCATTTTATTGTAAGAAAGTATTTTAAAATAGTAAATTGATGGAAAATGTGTAGTTAAAAAATAAAAAAAAATTTGAATTTGTGTATAATATTATTTTATTAAAAAATGTAGTTAAAAAGGAGAGGAAAAAAAATATTTTGGGAATAATGGAATCAACCAAAGGCCTAATAAATTATGTGACTTTTAAATGATTTCGTTGAAAAAGTTTCAGACACGTGAATCTAGAAGAACCATTAAAATCTCAAATCGAAAACCCCTCATCTTCAATCTCGTGTCCATCTTCATCACACCACTACCCAAGAAGAGACTTATCCAATTTTTTGAGGTCAGGGTTGATGTCAGCAAATTTAGATTTCCTCACCATCTGAACTCTAAATTAAAAGCCTTGCATCATAGCCTCCACTGAATCTAGTGTCAAGTCATGGACATAAGAACATGTTCGGCCATTCTGTTAGCTTCTGCACTGGCAATTGCGTTCCAAGTCTTTGTTTTATCTCCAATATCACCTGATATACTCCTTCTTCCAACCTCTTCAATCCCATCAAACAGCAAGTTACAGGTGAATATATACCTTTGTCTTAATATGTGTGTGTGTGTGTGTGTGTGTGTAACCAATGGTCGATGCTACTAGCTAGTTTCTTTTTGGCCCAATATATAGGAAGTGAGTAAACTTGGAGAAGGGCTTCTAAACAGACCAGAAGCCATTGCTGTCGACAAAACGGGCGTGCTTTATACGGCTACAAGAGATGGTTGGATCACAAGACTGCACAGAAATGGATCCTGGGAGAAATGGAGGCATATTGACAGTGATAATTTACTTGGAGTAACTGCAACAGCAGCTGGTGATCTCGTTGTCTGCGACGCAGAGAAGGTAAATCGTGTTGAAGAGTAACATTTCCTAATAATTTTTAGCTTTTCGATGAGGTGGTCGGAAACAACATCCGGTGAAAACAGTTAAAAGTCTCGCCTCTAACCATTTACGAAAAACTTGCACCTTTTTCAACAATTTTAGCTTTTTGATGAGGTGGAAAGACACGACGTAAGTAAAAGCAGTTCAAGTATTGTTTCTATCCATTTAGGAAAACTGTGTACCTTTCTTAGTAATTTTAGCTTTTGGACGAGGTGGTTAGACACAACATCACGTAAAAGGGTTCATTATGACATATATACTTGTCAAGAAGTTTGTTCATGTTGTCGAGTATGGCGCAGGGTTTGCTCAAGGTTGGAGAAGATGGTGTAACCGTTCTTGCATCCCATGTCAATGGCGCCAAAATTTTGTAAGATCCCTTGTAAATTCAATGTCACGTACACAAATTACTAAAAAATTGATCCTCTAGTTTTGTGTTAAACAAGTTTTTGTCTAGAAGCTTCGATGTTCGGTAGAAATACTTTTCTCCTCTAGCCTTTTCAAATCCTCTTTGGGACCATTTACTTGGGTAATTTATAAAAGTGATTGTGACTACCGCATGAAGTCTCCGGCTAATTGATGTCTATTTGAATACGCAACTCTATCATCTCACTCTTATTCAATGACACTATAATTGAAGAGTGAGACGGTATTATTAACAATTAGGAGGCTCATCAGGTCACTCACATGGTGGGTCCCACCGTGTATTAAAATATAGAATTTAAGGGTGGCCCCACATGTGTGAGCGAACATCTGTGGGTTTTCTTTTCGTACGTGTAGCGCGGTTCTATTATACAAATATCAATCTTCTATTGGGTACTATCAAGAAAATTCAATCATGCATCTATGTAAATCCTGAAGCTTGAAAAGCTACAAAAAAATTCATGTCGATTATATACTATTTTAATTCAGTTCGGTTAGTATTTATTTACCTTATCCTCTTTATAAAAAAAAATGCTTTTATAGCCCTAATAATTTTTTTTATATTTAAACTTTATTTTCTAAAAAAATAAAAGAAAAATTGGCCCCATCTATTTTACACCTCTAGATTGTATCATCAATTTGATAAAAATAGGCAAACATGCTATGTATTCAATTAATTTATGTCCCTGTTTGTCTACCATTATTCAATGAAAATGAATTTTGAAATAATGAATTTTCGAAGAATGTGTGAATAAAAGTAGGAAATTTTTTTGATTTACATATAAATAAGCAGTTCAAAATGATTTTTTTTTTAATTTTTTTTTGAAATAATGTTAGGCAAACAGGACTATGTTATGAAGTTTGGATATTTACCTATATATTATTTGAAATATTTAAAAGGTTTGCAGATGATGTGATAGAATCAGCAGATGGTAGTTTGTACTTCAGCATCGCAACTACGAAATATGAGCCCCATAATTGGCACCTTGAAGTGCTCGAGGCAAAGTCGCATGGACAACTTGCAAAGTACGATCCTTCATCGAAGGAGACATCTATTTTGCTTGATAATCTTGCCTTTGCAAATGGTGTTGCCCTCTCAGCAGATCAAGATTACTTGGTCGTATGTGAAACTTGGAAGTAAGTATTTTTCAACAATAAATGCTTAGTTTTTCTCAGTTTACTCGGACGAAATCGATTACATATTTAGGCATGTCTGCATTAACAATAACAAATTAAGTCCATATTTGATCCCGATTTTCTAAAATTTATTTTCAACTATATATTTAATTATTTTTTATTGAGATCTAATGAAAATCTAATTTTGTGGAACAAACGCCCAGATTTAAAATAAAAGTTGTTTGTTGACATAGGTTACATGAATCCTTTTTATCTAGTCAATTCTACTCATTGTTAGATATATTGAAATTTTTTAAAAATTCGGTCATTTTGTCTTATCACTTCCTCTTTATGACTGGTACCTTGAGATATATGATGATTTAGATTATTCTTTTTAACAAGATTGAACATCAAGTCTTAATACAGTATCGGAGCCTTTGAGGTCAAATAATAATTCGATCCGATTAATACTCAACTGAGTACATGAATTTCAAGATTAACGTGATCAAACGAAGCAACATGTTGAGGGCATGCTATATAAAAGTTTACACAGGTATATTTGCCCCTTCAGGAGGTATGAAATTTAATNGAAAAATTGGCCCCATCTATTTTACACCTCTAGATTGTATCATCAATTTGATAAAAATAGGCAAACATGCTATGTATTCAATTAATTTATGTCCCTGTTTGTCTACCATTATTCAATGAAAATGAATTTTGAAATAATGAATTTTCGAAGAATGTGTGAATAAAAGTAGGAAATTTTTTTGATTTACATATAAATAAGCAGTTCAAAATGATTTTTTTTTTAATTTTTTTTTGAAATAATGTTAGGCAAACAGGACTATGTTATGAAGTTTGGATATTTACCTATATATTATTTGAAATATTTAAAAGGTTTGCAGATGATGTGATAGAATCAGCAGATGGTAGTTTGTACTTCAGCATCGCAACTACGAAATATGAGCCCCATAATTGGCACCTTGAAGTGCTCGAGGCAAAGTCGCATGGACAACTTGCAAAGTACGATCCTTCATCGAAGGAGACATCTATTTTGCTTGATAATCTTGCCTTTGCAAATGGTGTTGCCCTCTCAGCAGATCAAGATTACTTGGTCGTATGTGAAACTTGGAAGTAAGTATTTTTCAACAATAAATGCTTAGTTTTTCTCAGTTTACTCGGACGAAATCGATTACATATTTAGGCATGTCTGCATTAACAACAACAAATTAAGTCCATATTTGATCCCGATTTTCTAAAATTTATTTTCAACTATATATTTAATTATTTTTTATTGAGATCTAATGAAAATCTAATTTTGTGGAACAAACGGGGTCTAAATTTTATTTTCAACAAATTTGACGTAGGTTACATGAATCCTTTTTATCTAGTCAATTCTACTCATTGTTAGATATATTGAAAATTTTTAAAAATTCGGTCATTTTATCTTATCACTTCCTCTTTACGACTGGTACCTTGAGATATATGATGATTTAGATTATTCTTTTTAACAAGATTGAACATCAAGTCTTAATACAGTATCGGAGCCTTTAAGGTCAAATAATAATTCGATCCGATTAATACTCAACTGAGTACATGAATTTCAAGATTAACGTGGTCAAACGAAGCAACATCTTGAGGGCATGCTATATAAAAGTTTACACAGGTAGATTTGCCCCTTCAGGAGGTATGAAATTTAATGGACTTCCTATTTGTGCTTTTGTGGGCAGATATAGGTGCTTAAAATATTGGCTAAAAGAGGAAAACAGAGGACAAACTGAGGTATTTGTGGATAATCTTCCTGGTGGACCTGACA